ATTCTAGGAACGCTAAGAGAAGCGTTATTCAATCAAGCAAGAAATATATCATACTGAATTTTCAGACTAACCAAGTGGGACCCATTTTCTATATATACTAAGTGACATATAAATCCGAACACCCAGTTTAAATGGTTTTATTTTAATAAAAGTTGAATGTATTTATCTTACTGTAAATAACAAGTGAAAAAATTTTCAGCCTTATCAGTTGGACATTCCGGTTTTTATACTGCTTTTTTTAATTCACTAACGCTCTAAAAATGAATATTTCAGCCGCTGTAAAGAATCAACGTTGGCGGATTTTGGTTCTTGACATCCTTTACGATCGGTTACGATGCCTAGAGTACGGAGACCTGTACGATTCCTTCAACTTAGTGAGTTTGATAGGGGCCGTATAGTGGGACTTCGGGAAGCTGGACTTTCTTTTCGGGTAATTGCAGTTAGAGTGCAAAGAAGTGTAGACACTGTGGTTAGGTGTTGTCAGGCATGGCTTCGGGAAGGCCGTACGCAAAGAGCAAGGGGCACTGGACGCCGCCGTAGAACAACAGACCGTGAAGATCGCCGCCTAAGAATATTGGCCTTAAGGGACCGTTTCTCCACTACCAGGTCCATTGCAAATGAATGGTTTGCAGAACACGGAAGACCTATTGGCATGCGAAGTGTTTACCGACGAATGAGAAGTTTTGGCTTGTTTTCATACGGGCCACACTGGGTCTTCCCTTTAACTCGAGAACACCGACGTAGTCGCCCTGAGTGGTGCAGACAACGGTCACTCTGAGATCAGGAATGGAACAGTATTGTGTTTAGTGACGAGTCTCGATTTTGTTTAGGCATGCACGATGGTCGTGCCAGGGTTAGAAGGCGACGTGGTGAAAGAAGGAATCCACAGTTTTTTGTTGAAAGACATGTTCATCATACTGTTGGTGTTATGGTTTGGGTTGCTATAGCTTATGGTTCCAGGTCACCTTTAATCTTCATCAGAGGTAACATGAACGCGCAGCGTTATATCCACGAAGTTCTAGAACCCCATCTTTTACCCTATCTTGACACCCTGGCAGATCCAACTTTCCAACAAGATAATGCCCGACCACATGTTGCAAGAGTCACAATAGACTTCTTTCAACATAATGATGTCACATTGTTACCATGGCCACCAAGATCTCCCGACTTATCCCCAATTGAGCATGTGTGGGATATGATGGGTAGGAGATTCCTCAATTTGCAACGTCCTCCTCAGACTCTAGAAGCACTTCGAGAGGAGTTGGTGGTTGCCTGGAATTGGATACCACAGGAGGACATTGACCACCTGATCAGAAGCATGCCTAGGCGCGTTGGAGAATGCGTAGCACATCAGGGTTCACCCACACATTATTAAAGGTCAAAGGGCTTTAAAGCAGTGCAATCATTTTGAAATTTTTATCATTTACTTATTATGCTTCATTAAGTACTTATACAAAATTTTATTAAAATAAAACCATTTAAACTGTGTGTTCGGATTTATATGTCACTTAGTATATTTTGTGCGGGGTATTTTTCCATCGTATTCACGGTACAGGAAATTTGATGAATGCACTGTATAGCAACTGCGCACTTTTACATTAACTTTTGCTCAGCATTCAGGACGTGTCCTTAATTTTTGAAGATATTGTAAGCAAAACTACGCAAATCTTGGACATACGCTGAACTCATTTTTTTAGTTTAACGTTTAATAAAAAGGTGTATTGTTTGTATGAGGGACCTTTTGACTCACCTCAAGGAATAAAATTCCATTGTAAGATCTATCAAGGGCAAATCATTTGTCGAACTCATCGGGTCAAGGCCATGTATTGCCAATATACAGGGTGTAAACGTTCTGATAGTCATTATTTAAATGGTTGCTAGAGGAGGTTAATATAACATGGGGGTCAAAACGGCGAAAAAAGACTTTAAAGTAAAATAAAATCTGACAACGCCGCAATGCCAGACCCACACTTCACTTTTTTGTATTTAAATACGGTGTTCAAAATGTCGTCCTCCACTTTCCACACAAGCTTCATTACGACGAACCCAGTTCCTTCTTACTCTAGGTCATTGATTCTCAAAGTGGTCTATATCGACCCCTAGGGATCTATGACAACCTGCAAGCGGTCTACGTCAGCGAAAAAAAAATTGGGGGTGCATGAAATGAATATGGGGGTCCACGATAGTGGATCTCAACACATACACTAATAGTACCTATTTACTTACATCATACTATCTTATAATATCAAAACATATACATTATTTATTAAAGTACCTATGAAGTAAACAATTTATTATATATGTTTATAAAATTGTGTAAGTTGTAGGATGATGGTATTCGCTTTGTGGTCGCAATACATTTTGAACTTGTAAAAACCTGAGAGTCGCAGTCTCAGAGCTTCGCTACCTTGCACTGACTTGTTCAAGTCGTCACTCTATAAATACGAATGTGGGACAAATACGTTTATTCGTTTCCTGAATCTTGAAAAGGAAAGTGCTAAGACAATATTTTAAAAAATATAAACAGATAGTATATCACACAAATTATAGTGAGTCAGTGTTATTTTGTTTGAGAGTGCTGGAGAAAAGTAAGTACATTATTTTTTATTAAGTTTTAGTTTTGTACTCGTAGTTAGCAAATATAGATAAATTACGCCAATCATGACTTTAGTTATTAGTAGTTGAATATTCAATCATGCAAAATTACATGAGTACTCCTCAATAGTTTCTTTTTGAAAGTTTTAGCAATCGGTAATATAATTACAGTGCAATCTCCGTAATTCGAGCTAATTGTTGCAAGAAGATGTTCGAATTATGGAATGTTTTCGGAAAAATCTAAAAATATTTTTAATATATAGCTACTGGATTTTCCGTCTTATTTAAATAATTTAATTTTGCCCACAGATGACTGATACCATGTCCGAATCTAAAAAGAAATGTAGACAGTACAGTGTTGATTATTTGAAATTTGGCTTCATTCCATCATTGCCGTACAAACAATCGTCTATGTGCCTTTTATGCAACAAAGTTTTGGGCAATGACGCTATGAAACCATCTAAACTGCAAGACCATCTGAGAAGATCCCACCCTGATAAAACAGAGAAAAATTTGAAATACTTTCAAACACTCAAAGATAAATTTCAGAAGAGACCTACACTGGACAGAATGTTCGCTTCGACGTCGCAAAGAAATGATGATGGTTTGCGGGCGTCTTACAATATCTCGTTACTTATAGCAAAATCCGGAAAACCGCATACTATCGGAGAGAAGTTAATTTTTCCAGCCGTTGAAGAGGTTTTAAAAACTGTTTTATACAAACCTGCATCTGATATCATTAAAAGAATTCCCTTAAGCAACAGTACTGTTGAAAGACGTATTGATGAAATGAGTGCTGATATTGAAAGCTTCTTATGTAATTATTTGCAAACGACCCATTTCTCTATACAACTGGACGAGTCAACTTTACCTGATAATGCAGCATTATTATTTGCATATGTTTGTTTTATTATGAATCAAGAAATCTACGAAGAACTGCTCTTCGCAAGAACTTTGATAACCGACACTAAAGATGAATCAATATTTCATGTTTTGAAGGATTACTTCATTGAAAAAGCAATTCCTTTATCAAATATAATATCAGTAGCTACAGATGGAGCACCTGCCATGGTTGGACGTTATCGTGGATTTATAAGCTATTTAAAACAAAATGTGTCAGGGGTGTTAGCAATACATTGCGTCATCCATCGACAACATTTAGTTGCTAAAAATTTGAGTGTTAGATTGCATGAATCACTTCATTTAGTCATTGATGCAGTAAACCGAATCCGAAGCAACGCGTTGAATACGCGGTTATTTGCGTAGTTGTGTGAAGAAAATGACGAACACTTTCATCAATTACTCCTTCACACTGGAGTACGCTGGCTGTCGAAAGGCTTATGTTTGACAAGATTTTTTGCACTTTTTGAGAGAGGAACTGACTGAACTGATGTAACGGTTTCACCGTCCGATCGTATTTATTAAATCACTTCTCTATTATCATTTCATTAATCCCATCTCTAGCTTTTTTACTTGGAAAATTTTCCGCTTGGACCGCTTGATGCGTTCCTGATCTGCGATCTTCCTCGCGCTTTCTTTTCACTTGAGCCGCCGATCGAACAAGAGCTAAGAATTTTCTTCTCTGTAGCACAACGTCATATAGCACCATGTGCTAGAATTTTGTAGAATGTGTATCCGTATAGGACAAAATGATTGGGGCCACCCCCTTTCTCTTTCCCTTTCTCTTTCCCTTTCTCTTTCCCTTTCTCTTTCCCTCTCCCTTTGCCTTTGTCTTTGACTTTGCTTTTGCCTTAGTCTTTGACTTTGCGTTGCTTGGCCTATCACTCCACCCATGCATGTGCCTTGGCAGCGCCATCGCCTTTAAGTTCAACTTCGCCTACAACTGGTTTTGAAGCCACTATATGTGAGGTCACCCCTCATAACTGGGACCTCCACTTCAAGCACCTGGCCGTCCTGGCTTCAGTCGAGTCAAAATGGACCAGCGAAAGATAAGTTGATAGTTTTATAGCAGCGCCAAAGATGTAAAACTTATTTTGTTCTTTTAAACTGTAAAATTGTAATGTAATGGAAATGTTTTTTTTTTGTTAAATAGAATCTGTTAAATTTTTGTGTTCTGTTTGTTCTTCTATCCTCTAGCCATGCCATGGTCGACACACAGCTACACGTCTGTAGATGTCTTCATGCCACCGACTGAGCTACCGGAAGCTAATGGTAACCCCCTTTCTGTGATTGTGCAGAAAAGTTGGAATCTTCATTGCATTCCATCTTTTCTGGACTTTTTGCGGAAAGGAAGCGTTACACTGAGTACAAAGGAAGAACTTAAGGTTCAGTTTAAAAACGGATATCAGCAATTCTGGCTGCAATACAACATACCCGTTACTTATCCCGTATTATGGAATATAGCGAGGAAATTTTTAATTTCCTTTCCATCGTCATGCCTAGTGGAAAGGGGGTTCAGTGCCGTTACCAATCTCCTAACGAAAAGAAGAAACAGACTGGACATCATTAGCCGAGGAGATTTAAGATTAACCCTTACAAAATTGACGCCAAATGTTGATAATTTATTATTAAAGCATCAGGTTCATCCCTCTCACTAAAAATATTGACTTATTGCTTATGTTATTTTATTTATAGTTTATTTTATGTTTATTGGTGTCTTAGGTGAGTAGGGGGTCTACCCAACACGGAAAAACATGGCAAGGGGTCTACGACACAAAAAAGTTTGAGGAACTCTGCTCTAAGTCCTCGAAGTCGTCCATTTATTATTTGAGCCGCATTAACATTTTTTTCGTGAAGTTGTGCTTCAGTTGTTATTGGACCAGCCCCATAAACCATCCTTTAAGTTCTCCCCAATACCAGAAATCCATCGGATTGAGGTTAGGAGATCTTGCTGGCCATTTTCAAGGATCAGGAGCATTTCAACCGATCCAACGATTTGGATAATGTTCATTTAAATACTAAAAGACGCCTCTAAAAATGTGTGGTCGTGCCCCGTCATGAAGAAACCACAAATTCTGTGTCCGTTGTAATGGCGTGTTGTCTAAGGTCTGTTCCAAAAGTTCTGGTAGGTTTTTGGCTAGAAAGCTAAGCTATCATTCTCTTGACAACTTTGGGGATAACTCGAAAGGGCCAATTACCTGATCGTCAAGAATAGCCGCCCAAATCTTTATTTTAAAGCGTTATTGGAAATGGCTTTCACGAATGGTATGTGGATTTTATTGGGCCCACGTGTGAGTATCATGGAAATTTAATATCCCGTCTCGCGTAAAAGTACATTCGTCCGTCGCTAGAATGTTTTTAAAAATATTCGGATTTTCAATGGTTTTGCGCAAAAACCACCGACAGAATGTTAGTCTGCGAATAGTCTTCTGGTAACAAGGCTTGCACTAGTTGTACATGGTAGGGATAAAGCAAATTTTCCCGTAGGATTCTATGGACTATGATATGCGATAGTCCTACGCGGCAGCCTAATTCTCGAGTGCTGATATCTGCATTGAGTTCCACGATATATAAAATTTATTCCTCGTGCTCTACAGTAACCTGTCTTTCACGAGTGCGAATATTAGTGGGCTGAACACTTCCTGTATCTCGAAGTCTTTGGTACACCTGCACAAATGTCCTTCTGTCTGAGTGTACCCGTTGGCAAAATCTGTCCCGTTAAATTTGAGGTGCAAGATTTGAATTCTGATGCGCTTCACCGTAAACTAACAACATGTCGGCGAACACTTGTAAATAAACACGACGACGTACGCGAACAAAAACAAAATAACACGCCCGATTCCCGATAATTAGCCACTATTACGTTATGTTTGCGATCGATTGCCGCTTCGATAAGAGTGATAAAAGACCGACGCGCTGTTGTATATGTGTTTTAAATATTAAATTTAATGAAACTTACTTACTTACTGACTACAAATTTTGGCTTAACTTAGAAAAACTTAATGCCATTTATTTGTTAATTACCCAATTTAAAAACGTTTTAGATTAGATTATAAAAATTAGTAAGACTGTGGTGATTGTGGTCGATATAAAGCACTTAAAGTTGTATACTATAAAGCCATTTAGACAAAAATCTATTGACTTTTGGACCATGGGTAGTTACTCAAAATTCATCAATCCTTTCAAGTCTAAGGCCATTGCATTTTCTCCTTATGATTTTCCAGTGAATGTTGCTAAATTGATCCAGCAATCTGTAAATGATACTTTGATACCTTTAGTTTCGGAGGCGGGGTGTCGTCGTAGATAAAGATATACGCTTTAGTCAGCATGTGATGCAACTGTTAAATCTACATATACTAAGTGACATATAAATCCGAACACCCAGTTTAAATGGTTTTACTTTAATAAAATTTTGTAGAAGTACTTAATGAAGCATAATAAGTAAATGATAAAAATTTCAAAATGATTGCACTGCTTTAAAGCCCTTTGACCTTTAATAATGTGTGGATGCACCCTGATATGCTACGCATTCTCCAACGCGCCTAGGCATGCTTCTGATCAGGTGGTCAATGTCCTCCTGTGGTATCTCATTCCAGGCAACCACCAACTCCTCTCGAAGTGCTTCTAGAGTCTGAGGAGGACGTTGCAAATTGAGCAATCTCCTACCCATCATATCCCACACGTGCTCAATTGGCGATAACTCGGGAGATCTTGGTGGCCATGGTAACACTGTGACATCATTATGTTGAAAGAAGTCTATTGTGACTCTTGCAACATGTAGTCGGGCATTATCTTGTTGGAAAGTTGGATCTGCCAGGGTGTCAAGATAGGGTAAAAGATGGGGTTCTAGAACTTCGTGGATATAACGCTGCGCGTTTATGTTATCTCTGATGAAGATTAAAGGTGACCTGGAACCATAAGCTATAGCACCCCAAACCATAACTCCAACAGTGTGATGAACATGTCTTTCAACAAAAAACTGTGGATTCCTCCTTTCACCACGTTGCCTTCTAACCCTGGCACGACCATCGTGCATGCCTAAACAAAATCGAGACTCGTCACTGAAGACAATACTGTTCCATTCCTGATCCCAGAGTGACCGTTGTCTGCACCACTCAAGGCGATTACGTCGGTGTTCTCGAGTTAAAGGGAGGACCCATTGTGGCCTGTATGAAAACAAGCCAAAACTTCTCATTCGTCGGTAAACACTTCGCATGCCAATAGGTCTTCCGTGTTCTGCAAACCATTCATTTGCAACGGACCTGGTAGTGGAGAAACGGTCCCTTAAGGCCAATAATCTTAGGCGGCGATCTTCACGTTCTGTTGTTCTACGGCAGCGTCCCTTGCTCTTTGCGTATGGCCTTCTCGAAGCCATGCCTGACAACACCTAACCACAGTGTCTACACTTCTTTGCACTCTAACTGCAATTGCCCGAAAAGAAAGTCCAGCTTCCCGAAGTCCCACTATATGGCCCCTATCAAACTCACTAAGTTGACGAAATCGTACAGGTCTCCGTACTCTAGGCATCGTAACCGATCGTAAAGGATGTCAAGAACCAAAATCCGCCAACGTTGATTCTTTACTGTGGCGGAAATATTCATTTTTAGAGCGTTAGTGAATTAAAAAAAAGCATAATAAAAACCGGAATGTCCAACTGATAAGGCTGAAAATTTTTTCACTTGTTATTTACAGTAAGATGAATACATTCACCAACTTTTATTAAAATAAAACCATTTAAACTGGGTGTTCGGATTTATATGTAGTATACATATATGCATCCCTGAAGTTATTATAATCGAATCGGTATATCAACTTTAAGACCGCGAATGAAACTTTTTGAGAGTCTTGTTTTATCAAAGGTACTTTATTGGTTGATTTCTTATTATACACATCTTGACTGTAGTCCTAAACATCGATTACAGAAAATTCAAAATAGTTGTTGTCCTTTCATATATATAGCCTCAGAAAATTCGCGCCTCATCTAAGATCAAAGTTAAGGTCGACAAACACTATACTTATTCCTTATTCCAGGTGTATTCTTGGGTAGATTGATTAAAACAGGTTCGCTTATTAATCTTTTGGAAAAAGCTTCTCCTCCGATGACAAAATATTCCAAGAGTACTTCAGCACAACATCTCATCAGTATGCCATCTCATAAAATATACTTATTCCGGAAATATTTCAGGACATATTACTCTATTAACAAAACACTCAAGTCAGAAAGCTTATCTACCTTCAAAGCTGCTTATAAATCCACTCTTTTAGAGTCGTCTGTTTGAAATGAATATTTCAAAATCATTATCAATATGCATATTTTGCCTTATTTATAATGTTTCAAATAAATAATTCCTTGTGCCTTAAAAAAG